TGTCCTGATCAATGGCCATATTGTAACGAGGTCCACGGCGCGGGTTCTCGACAGTTGTCAGGATAGAGGCGAAATTGCTGTGCAGATTTTTCTTGTCCCGTTTGCTGATACGTTTGTTGTGCACTGTTGCCAGGGACTGTAGTGAACGTTCGAGCTCGGGGGTATTGTGGTATGCGTTGTAGCGCTTGATGAGCTTGGGACCGGTGATTTCTGGAGCGTGTTCGTCGCTCTCATCGGAGTCTTCTTCATCCTCATCGTCATCGTCTTCTTGGGGTGTGTAGCTCTTTTCGTAAAGAAGGGCAATGGCTTCGCCGGCGGCGATTTGCACACCACTGTCACCACTGTCGAGCTGGTCCATGAAGATTTGGACAGCTTCTTCGCTTTCGCTCTCGAAGTCGTCGATTTCAGTCACGAGGAAGCCCCAGACTTGTAGAGCTGCAATGACACATCCCGCATCATCGGCTGCTTCGATGGACTGACCATCCGACGCAATGATATCGAGTAAGAAAGTCATTTGTTCGAGAATACCGTCCTCGCCGGCCCCGCCGAAGATGGTGCATGTGCCCAGGGAATGGATTGCAGCCGCCTTAACGACAGCGGAACTGGAGTCGCGGATACTGCGTGTCAGCACCGGCTCTGCATTTTCGTAGATCTTATCGTCGCTCGACGTGATGACTAGTAACTCGATCGCGCGGAGAGCATTTGTCGTCTCGCGGGTACTGGCTTCATTTCGAACACTTCGGGCGAATGTGCTCAATAGATCGGTGATTGAGCCACGGAGTTCTTCCTCGGCGTAGTGGTATTTGGTTAAGCGGCAGAAAGCTGCCAAGGCTTCTTCGCGCCCTTGTACGGTGCTGCGTTTGCGCTCGAGGAGTTCTTGGATACGATCGGCTAGCTCTTGGGGCCAGTCTTCATTTTCTTGCTCTGGATTTTCGTCATCCAGTGAGCCGATGCTGGTCAGGGTGATTGTGGTCAGCTGGATTTGTCCAATTTCGAGAATGTCGTCGAATGTGTAGTAAAATGTAGAAAAAAACATTGCTGACGGCGGTGACATCATCCCGCCACTGGGGTGGGACCATGTAGATTCCTTGAATGCACAAAAAATCTGAAAGGAAAGGAAAGGAGAAGGGGAGAAACTGGGGATGAATCAGTTGCTCACCTCATGGCAGTATCGTCGGAAAGAAATCCAGAATCTTCATCATCAGAAGGCTGCCTGCTTGCAGCTCTCGAAGATTGACGAGATGTTTGCTTGGAGCCTTCGCGGGAGGTAGTGCGCGAGGCTTCTCTCGAAGCCGCTTTGCGCGAGACGGTCTTGCCGCTCTCGAAAATCTGGCGGCGAAGATCGGGCATGATTGGAGGATTGTTGGAATCGGAGAGGAGTTTGGAATCAGTAAGAAAACTTGGAACTTTCTGAGGTGAGCGTCCTAGGAGGAGCTCGAGGGTAAATGTGGGTGAAAAGCGGATGAGAAAGCGGGTCTATCCTATTGGTACGGAGCTATGGTAAAGCGAAATCGAGAGGTGAAGAAAATAGAAGAATAGCACATCGTTTTGCAGTTGAAACATCTGGCAAGGGGTGAATGAAGGAGGGGGAAAAGAGAAAGGGAAAAGCCGAGAGTAAAAAGTTCCCCCAGTGAAAGGTGACCTCAGGACTAAGAAGAAGTGAACGGCGTAATGCGCGTCCGAACCGTGGCTCACCCAATCGCGGGTGCCCAAAGCAAAGCTGACCGCCAGTGCGGGGATCAAGTATGGATATACATTAGTTATACTAGAGCTATACTAGTTATAGCTATAGTTATACTGGTAGTATACTGGTAGATACTAATAATACGGGGTAGTAGCATGGCATGGTCAAGTAGAACTCATCAGAATGGTCGGGTATTTACTATCTATCGTACATCGTAAACCTACTTCCGCTGCATCGTCAGCTCCAAAATTCGCCGAGCCTTGGCCCCCTCCAGATATTCCCGGCCCTCTTGGCCATATTCCTCCTCTTCATCATCATCGCCCACTTCCAGATCAACCTGTAAACTGGCCTCGTAGGAGTCCGTGAGGGTGTCTTCGTCCACGCGCACGCCGCCTTGCACCAAAACCCGAACACATTGTGTCAACCGCGCAATCTCCCGGCGGGTCTGTGGCGGAACGTCGTCATTTTGGCTGGAATAAATTGAACTTGAAACCATCTCTTCCATGCGCGTAATCGAAACATTCTCTGTAGTGGACGAGGCCGCCTCGGCTCCATCCGCATGCTTGGAGATCCAGATATATCCGTTCACGCCGAGGATAATATCCACCTCACCACCACCATTGGCGGTAGTATGTGTCCATACTTGTCGCCGTGATCGAACGACTCCTCCCCAGTGCCACTTGAAGCCGCTGCGGCCGAGGACCCGGACCCAGACCCAGGTCCAACACCTCCCTTCACGCTAGAGCTAGATGCCCCGCTACCTCCCGTTCCAGTGACAGCAAGGAAAACGCCATTTCGAAGCTTTCCATATTTCAAAGATCGGGTATGAAGTGAGGCTGAACCATCTTGATGCACACTTTGTACTTCAGCAACCACCAAGTCACCCTCGCTGAAAAAAGTTCGAATCTGAAGTTCGTCGGCGCTTGTTCGTCGACGCAGAATACCGCCGGGCAGGTTGATCGCGGAGAGAGGAAGCTGCGCCAGTAGCGGGGCGGCGACGTCGACCTTCCATCGTTTCGACTGCACTTCGACAATGCGTCCCACCACCAAATCTCCAATTTCGGGAATATATCGAGCGCGGAGCGGGTGAACTGAGAGCAATTTATTGGTTTGTTGGACTTTTCCGGCGACTGTGGCGATAATTGAGGTGGAGAGAGGGTTCATGTATGTGCCGTGACCTCTGCAAGATGTTACATTAGCTTTGATCATATTCAAACTATGGGAGGGAGGCCGATTTCGATTTCGATTTCGACCCCGCGCTAGGCTAGCGAACCTCCCCAGAGTAGTAAACTTACCTCATCCATTTAGGATCAGCTGTAACAATTTCTCCAGGAGTGACAATTCCTGAACTGATCTTCCCATTTCCTGTGCGCGGTTTCTTGTTAGGCCGTGAGACGCCGCTCATTTCAACGTCTGAGTCTGAGTCTGCGCCGGACATGGAGGAGTCGGAGTCGGAATGGTAGGGAGCGACGTCCTCTACCACGGGTGGGAGAATTGTGATTGCCATCGCAGACAAGATTCTTTGAAATAATCTGCGTCGAGGAGTTTAAGGTGAGCAGTTTAGAGAAAGTCCGGAGCTTGAGATCCGCACCGAGACTTTCTTAAATTCACGTGACTGATCCACCTACTCCACTTAGAAGACAAAAGTCATGCATGAGATTGTACATGAAATATAATTTTAATTGATCTGTAGTTTAATCAAAGGATCGCTGAGTGTTGGGTGTCATTCTTGGTTCAAATTTTAGTGTTAATTTACGAATTCATGGTCTAGCAGCTGACTATAGAGCTTCATTGTGTACTGCCTTTTATTGAGAAATGCAGTGAGCACTAGCCTATATCCATACGTAGATAGTTTCAAAGTCTTTCCAAGAAGGAACAACGTAAAATTGAACTGCAAATGCATAATAGTACATAAATTGATCGAGGAAAAGTCAAATCCCCACCGGATCCCAACCTCAGGTCTTCTTAGCAGTGCGGTTGGCAGTTGGAGTCGACTCCTCCTTCTTTTTCTTCGAGCGGCTACTACCACCCTTGGGTCGATATCCGGTATCTTCTTCACGCTTGCGCTTGTTCTTAGGTGTTGGCTCCGCATCCATTCCATCCTCATCATGTGTCTCTTCATCCTTACGCTGCGTCGGCGCCCGCTTCGATGAGCGTTGATTTGACGGCTTTGATGTCGACTTCTCTGATGCAACTTCGTGGTCTTGCAGATTCTGAGGCTGATTACGACGCAGCCAGTTGTGGACCGACGCCGGGTTGCGCATGCTGGCATCCTTTTCCCGTTCTGCGAATGTGGGTGGGTCGGGGATGCGCTCAACTTGCAGTGCGGCTGCCTCGTCGCCAAGTTTGGCATCAAGGGCCAGGTAATACTCGGTTTCGTGTTCCGGGGTGAAATATCCAAGTCTGCGCTCCACGCCGTCGGTGATTTTCTCTGCGTCCGGTGCAGTGGTGGCGGTATGGGGCACCTTGCATAGGCTGTTGTAATTCATGGCTGGCGCAAATTCCTTGTTCCGCTTGATACTCTCTTCAACTTGACGATATGCCCCGGCTGAGAAATTCCCGTTCGCCAATTCTGTCTTGGCCTCTTTTAAGGTCGTTCGGGCCAGGGTCGCGTCCTCAACCAAGGGGGCAATTACTTGCTCCGCGGTGGGGAGGGAAGGAATATCGGCTGGCATGTTCAAGTCGAATCGCATAGTCGGAGATACTTGGAGACTCTCGTTGAATTCAAGGAGGACCTCTAATAATTGACTTCAGACACATTAGAGGCAGTTCTGAATAACTTGCGGGTGCTTGGTGAAGGGCATACTCGTTCTGTTCTTGGATACGCTTGGAAAGATCCTCAATGCGCAATTCCCTCTCGAATCAAAGTCTCGTTTTCTCGGATTCCATGGTCGAATTTGACCTTCATCTTCGCATATTTCTTCCTGGGGAAGGGTTAGCCAAAGCTCCATCACGGGTCTTTGATGATGTCGTACTTGAAGGACCGAACAGGCGCTTTCGCAGCGGTATCTGCCGGGGCATCTGGAAGAGTATCCATGGCAGTTGCGGAGTCGGTCGGTTCCTGTGCCATGGTGGGCGATGGTCAAGATGAGATTGAAGGGGGATAGCGGAGGCTGAGCTTCGGGTCAAGTCAAAGGGCGGAAAGGGCGGCGTCACGCGCCAAGCCCGGCTTGCGCGGTTGGTAATTGCAGGCCGCCGTAAAAAAATTATGGCAGACCATCGGGGATTCTCCAGTCTCGCAAGAAAGTCTGGAATTGAGTTACCATTACCTCACTCCGAACCAATTTGTTTCGCAGGTACATATCTATCAGCCATTATGCCGGAATCCGTGGATCGTGCCGAGAAGAAGCGTAAGCTTCAGGACGGCCCTGAACTCGAGATCGATGTTTCTGCGCCGGAACCCCAATCGAAGAAAGCTTTGCGCCAAGCCAAAAAGAACAAGACCAGCGGAGGTTCTAAAGATGCCGAAGATACTTCGTCCGGAAAACCCGAGTCTAAATCGACTGCTGAATCGCAGCCTATCCCCGGAAAGCGTTCTCCCTGGGGAATCTGGATTGGAAATATGGTCTTCTCGACGTCGGAGAAGGAGCTTATCGATCACCTTGTCAAATTTTCGGGACTTGAAGAATCTACAATTACTCGGGTGAACCTGTCCAAGGGCCCGGAGAAGTTTGGCAGACCTCAAAACAAGGGTTTCGCGTACATCGACTTTTCGACCAAGGAAGCCCAGGACACAGCCGTGGAAAAGGTGAACGAGACGCTTCTGACAGGCCGTCCGTTGTTGATCAAGCCTTCAAACAACTTCGAGGGTCGGCCCGATAAAGCTGTGGTCCAAGCCTCCGCCAGTGGCAACCCCCCCATCTCGACGACTCTATGTCGGCAACCTCAGTTTCGACACTACCAAGGAGGCTCTCGAAGAACATTTCGGCCGATGCGGCACCTTGACCCATGTACACCTTGCGACTTTCCAAGATTCAGGAAAGTGCCGTGGATTTGCCTGGGTGGAATTTGAAGATATTGCGGTCGCGGAAGCAGCGGTGAGGGGATTTGTGATGGTCAAGGAGGAAGAGGAAGAGGAGTCATCGGACAGCTCTGACTCGGAGTCCGACGACGAGAAGAAGAAGAAGAGAAAGGCCAAGAAGCCTCGCATGCAGAAAGTCTGGGTGAACAACCTTCTGGGTCGTCGCCTTCGCTTTGAATTCGCAGAAGATGCGCAAACCCGATACAAGAAGCGCTTTGGCAAGGACAGGGAGGGAGGAAAGAATGAAGATGGCTCTTCCGAAGAGCAACCCCGCATGCGCAAGCCCCGGAAGCAAGAGATTGACGAGACTCGCTATTCCAAGGAAACCGTGCAACGACTCAGCGGTGCGATTGTCGAGGGACAGGGCAAGAAGGTCAACTTCGACTAAAAAGGTCACGCCGTTTGGGAAATTTCGATGCACCGGATATGCTACATGCACATCAATCGTGGCTCTTGCAGTACCGATCTACCACTATGATCCATTTTCAGGCATCTAGAATTTTTTTCTTTCTTTTGGGCCTCTCTACAGCAAGGATCCTTTTGTGGTCTGCATTCATGTTGACGTGGCATCATAGCCAAGAAAGCCCACGTTGGGCCACTTCTTGGACCTAAAGATACCCCACTAAAAAGTTTCTGTATACTTGGTTGAATTTTGAGGTGCTTTCGATTGCATGTATTATGGTTGTGATAGGCGTTATCAATCAAGGGATCCGCTAGTACAAGCTGGGGATCCACCTTAGCTCCCTTACTTCTGGTACTGCACCGCAACATATAGATATTTCGATTGGCTTGCTCGGCAAGTGAGCGCACACTGAATAGTCAGAAATTCAAATATACTCCAAAACCTACCCAGAAAAGATTATAGCCTAGGATAATAGTCAAAACTCACGTAGATCTCACTTTATAGACTTCGATATAGAACATGCCTTGATGCCTTATGCCTCCGCCAATTGAAAAGACGGGCAGAAACACCTACCGCCCTGCTGACGTCTCCAGGCCTTGCCCATCCTGGCGTCGATATATCGATGCTCTGTGCTTCCTATTTTGTCTGGACTGCATCTCCCTCTTCTCACCTCCCCTTCTTCTTTTTCCTTCTTCTTCTTTCACATCACTTTGGCCCCTCGAAGTGCTTTTTACCCACCATTTCTTCTTCTTTTAGCATTCTTGTTGCCCTTCCATTCACCTTTTGCTTGTTGCACCCACCTACATTCGCCGCACTTCTTCCTCCCCCATCCCTTCCTGGGTTGGCGGGCCTTAACGCCAACCACGTCTCCAGAGGGAAGGTACTCTCGACTTGATCAGCTCGCAGCTGCCGCCCGAACACCTCATGGCTCCCCCTCGTCGACGTCATATCGGCGCAAGCCGCAGGAAGAGAAGGGAAGATGAGGGCGAAGAAGAGGGCTCGACCGCCGGAGATCTGGAAGATGACTCCTTGAGCGAAGGCTCTGCGGAAAGCCATCAAGATGATGAGGATGCCGATGTAGAAGGTAGCGAGGACGAAGAAGAATCACAGAGCACCAAGGAAGCGGGCAAGCCGAATCGCCGAAAGATTAATGGCCGTGGGCTACGAGCAGAACGGAAACGACGCAGCTCGACATCCCCCAATAAGCCTGGACTGAAAACGACAGTATCGGATACGGAAGCTATGTTGAATGGCCTCAAGATCACCGACGAGGGCGGGGAGGTTGAGTTCGATCAACTCAAGGAAGAACGAGAGCTCCAGACCGGCCGAACACCGTCGGCCCCTCCCACTGAGCCAAAGCGGGAAACTCTGGCTGCGAAGAAACGCCGGGAGCACGATAAATATATGAAAGAGCGTGACCAGAACCCGGCTTTTGTACCCACACGAGGCCGCTTCTTTCTCCACGATAATCGGACAACGGAGGCAGGGACAAATGGTCATCGCCCCTCCACCAAGGGCAAATCATCTCGCCCTGTTGGTCTGATTGTCGATGGAAACTCCCGCAGGTATGATCAACTCTTGTCCTGTGTTTTGACGAAACAAGTATCACTGACGTTATCTAGAAACTCTACGAAGACTGATGCCAGTGAAGGGAAGTGGGATCATGACCTTCACGCTACCGTAGCTGGTGATGAACGTTCTGGTCCAAAGCAGCCGCCCCCCTCAGCAGTACCGAATCCCCCTTCGAATGTTCCCACTGCCCCTCGCTCCTCCCCGCCAAATCGGTCTTTCTCCAGCACTACTCTCATTGGTAATGTGCCGGTTGTGGTGTTCTTGCCGGGCATGAGCCAGGCGAAACCCTTTGCCGCTGTGCCAAAGAAACAGCATACGCGACTTCCCCAGCATCGCCCTCCTCTGCGGCGTGACAAGCCCGTGCGAATCTCACTTCCCGGTCAACCCCCTCGTTATATTTTCCCGTCTACTGAGCGTTCCTTCATCTTCATTCCCCGCGCATTACGCCCTAACCAACAAGGCTATCGAGGCCGCGGCCGTGGAGGCTTTTACCCCGGACGTCGACCAAGTTATTACCCAGGCTCATATACACCCAGCGTTGCCAGCCGGCGGTCTTCGTTCGGCATGGGTTCCCAGGATGGATTCCCATCGCCGGCAGGCTCGGTCTATTCGCGCCCGTCGATGTCTCATCATGATATGGGCAAACCTGTTGTTCGCCTGCCGCCTCCACCGCGTCCTCCAGTTGGTATTCCCCCAGTTGGACCTGGTATGGGTATGCCAGGACAAATGGGCATGCCGACAATGCTCCCTCCATATCCTCCCTACCGTGAAAGCCGTCCGGCTCCAATCCCGATGCATCAACCCCGCCCTCAGAAGACAGTTTCCGTGGCAGATATCGAAACTCCCAGCCTCCATTTCAACCCGCCGCAGCCCCAGCAAGAGCAACCATTCCATCACCAAGTTCCTGTGCCCGTGGCCGGCCCTGGCCAGGAGCTAATGCAACATGGTCCATCGAGTCAGCACTCGGGGACGCCACTCTCTCAGATCCCCGAGCGGGCTGTGCATGCCGACTCTTTCCACCCCTACTCATACCAGCAGCCCTCCGGGTACTATCCCGGTTACCCGCCTCACCAGGGTAATATGTATTATCCTGGATATAATGGACCGATGGGACCTGGTGCTTCCGTACCGAACTTCCCTCCCGGCCAGCAACCGATGCCATATGTTCTTCCACAAGCATCGAATGAGCCCGCCGGACAACCCGGGACTGTGGCCCATGAATCTGGCGGCACGGTCTACTTCTACGATACCAACCAGATGTATCAGAACCCCAACAACTACGGACCAGGACCAGGACCTGGGGGAGTGGTTGGAATGGGAGGCATGATGACGCCGCCAGGCACCACCTACTACTATCCTCAAGGGCCGGGTGCTGGGGGCAACATGCCATACTATGGGCAGCAGTGACCGTGGCTTCGTCCTCGTTCCTCTTCAACTAACTAGCCTTCTTTCTTGATCATGATTTTTCGCAGGCTTTTTTTTTGGTTTCCGCGTTTCCTTTGCCCCTCTCTCTTGACTTGTTCTTCGCCTTTGGAAACTTTGTTCCTTCCTTTTTCTATTTTTTATTATTATTTTCCCTTCACCCTTGTCTTGTTGAACGTGGTTAGACTTGGAATCGGATGCATTTGAGCGTTCTTCTTTCCCCTCCCTCATCTCATATCCCCGCAAATGCGGCACACACCCCTTCCCCCTCATCGTCTCTTCTTGCATGAATCTAGGCTCCAGTGCATGACCTCATTCTCTTTCTGTTACTGAAAGGGGCTACGAAATACCAAACAAAAGTACCTGAGACTTTGCTCTCAAATCCCAGTCCTTATCAGTACCGCCTTGTATCGCCCTGTATCGAGCCTGTATGATACGTCTTTTAGGTGTAATTTTCTCACAAAGCCACCTTATTGGCGTATCGTCAGTGTATCGGCGGTGTAATCCCATTGACGCCATATTAGGTAATCTTACAGAGGAAGGTCAGCTGCCTCTCTGCACCGCAGCGGCAGTCTCCCCCCTCTCGTGCAACACCCCAGAGGCCTCGTTGACCTCTTTCCATCCTCTTGCCGTATTCCCTACCTATCTTTTATCCGTGGTTCTTCGCTGTTTGCCATCTCCATCTCGCTTTTTATCTAGATTTTGCTTCTGGACTCTCCTCTTTCACGTATCAGGGAGGATCCCATCCCTTGAGCCTCTTATCTCTCTTCTCGTATCCCCCCATACTTCTCTCTCCACCTCCAACACACCTCGGCCATCATGGCTACCCCAGCACTGCCCTCTCACCCCGGCCCCGAGCATCTCGTTACTATCAAGGTGCTTTTTAACGATAGCAACCGTCGTTTCAAGCTCCCTCTGAAGGACTTGCGAGCACAGGTGCTGCCAGAGAAGGTAAGATTCAGTCTCCACCCGAGCTCCGACCGGACCTCCAGTCCGCTCAGCTGGGGATCTCCAATCTCTTATCACAGATAGCTCTATAGCCCATCGAGATGATCGAAAATGCTCATGATTCTGATCTTTTAAACCAAACCAAGCTTTGATTGCTGATTAACTGATGCGTTGGGTTTAGCTTCGCATTCTCCTCGGTGTTCCAGCGGATGTTAACGTCATCCTCGAACGCTATTCCGACAGCGCCGGCTCCTACATGCGTCTCGACTCTGACAACTTCGCTGTCTACAAACAACTCTACAGAGCTGCCAAAGCCAAGTCAAAGCTTCGTATTAAGGCTACCACTGTCGATTCATCGGCATCGGCATCGGCATCGACTCAGCCTCCCACCGACGAGTCGTTCCCCACCCGGCACAGCTATCTTGAGACTGTTCTTAGTTCCCCAATTCCTGTTGCTCAGCCTGAGACTCTCCCATCTACATCCGAAACCACTCTTCATTCAAACCCCACAGCCCCTTCCCTCACCATAGCTTCTGATCAACCCCATTACCGAGACTTCGATATGGAGCAGGACAAACTTCGTTTCCCGGTTATCTCTCACAACTCTCCCAGTGGCATGTTCTGCATAGACTGCAACAACTGCGGTCGTTCCATTGCAAATGAGCACTACCACTGCAGTATTTGCGAGTACGGAGACTATGACTTGTGTCCCCAGTGTGTTGATGCTGGTGCATCCTGCCGCGGAGAAGGTCACTGGTTGATCAAGAGGGTGGTCGAGGGCGGTCTCGTCACTAACAGCACCACCGAGAAAATTCCTCCTCGCCAACAGTCTGCTCAAGAGATCAAGTCTGTCGCTCCAGTCGCACCTCTCCCCGCTGCCAAGCTCGTCCCTGAGATGGCGGGTCCTCCCATCCCTATCGTTGCTGCCCCCGCCCCTGCTGTCGCTTCTCCAAAGACTACTCGCTCTGATATCACTGCCGAAAATGAGGAGAAGCCAATTTGCAATGGATGCTGCCGTGGTATGTGGTTGCCATTACTTTACTATCATTTGTTACTTCCGCTAATGCAATTTCTAGAAGCCGATGAGACCAACCTGGTCCGTTGCCTGAACTGTGAAGACTATGATTTGTGCCTCCGTTGTCTGTTGAGGAACAAGCATGGTCACCATCCCGCCCACACCTTCACCTCTGGAACTGACCGCAATTTCTGCCTGAAGAACCTGATCATGGCTCGCTGTCTTCCAGGTCGCCAGTTCAAGCATGCAGCTATCTGTGATGGCTGTGACAAGCGCATCGTTGGCACCCGACACAAGTGTCTGAGCTGCCCAGACTGGGACTACTGCAGTGCCTGTGCCTCTCGCTCCAAGGAGTCCCACCCTGGCCACCGATTCGCTCCTATTTATGAAGCTATCGGTGACCAGTCGGCGCATGAGATGGACATTCACTATGGCATTTTCTGTGACGGTCCCCTATGCAAGAACAAGCCTGCCCAGAGCTACATCAAGGGTATTCGCTACAAGTGTGCTGTCTGCGATGACGTTGATTTCTGCGCGAACTGCGAGGCCTTCCCTACCAATGCTCACAATCACACCCACCCCTTGGTCAAGTTCAGGACTCCCATCCGCTCTGTCACTGTGAATACAGTTACGGAAGATCTTCCGACTGGAATCTTCCATCTGGGCGACCAGACTGATCTTCCTTCTGAGGCTCCTACCAAGGTTGAAAAGCCAGTTGAGATGTTCGCAAACAAAGTGGAGAAGACCGAGCCAGTAGAGGAGGTAGAGAAGGCAGAGCCAGCTCCTGAGCCTCCTGTCAGTGAAGTTCCAGCTTACAAGGAGGCTTACGAGGAAGTTCCCGTGGACTCGGACAGTTACCAGGCCTACTTCCTTCGTGATGCCATCTCGGATGGCACCAAGTTGCCTCCTGACACCACCTTCCGCCAGACATGGACCCTTTACAACCCGGGACCTAATTCCTGGCCCGTTGGTTGTGACATCCGCTTTGTCGGTGGAGATACCATGTTCGATGTCGATGCAAGCCACCCGTCCAGCATCGATGCGATCCGCTCTGCGATGGAAAGCAACAAGCTGACCGCTCCTCTGGAGCCTGGCTCAAGCGCTGACTTCAGTGTGACCCTCCGAACTCCTCAACGCGAGGGTGCCGCTATTTCCTACTGGCGACTGAAGTTGCCTAACGGTATGGCGATCGGTCACCGACTGTGGTGTGACATTCAGGTGCAGGCAACTCGCGTCTCCGCAGTTACCCCAGAGTCTGATGAGCAGGAAAAGTCTATCGATTCTAAGACCGAGTCGCCTGCATCCGCTAACACCGAGCTTACCAGCAGTGGCATGGTCTTCCCCAAGTTGGAGAAAGAGTCACCCGAGGCTAGCCTCATGGCTAGCACCCATGAAGCCACGGCCCCAACTCACAATGCCCCGACTCTGTCAACCGCCTCTGAGCGCGATGCCCTTGAGGACTTGGAGAGCTTGACCCTGGAGGATGCCTCTACTGACGCAGGCTTCCTCACCGATGAGGAGTATGACGTTCTAGACGCTAGTGACCAAGAGTTCCTTGAGGCCAAACAGTCGATTCACTAGATAACACCCCCGTACGACACAGAATGGAAACAGAACTGCGTGTTGAATGAATTCTTGGAATGGATGCAGTTGACTCTCCCCTTTTTTTTCTTTTTCTTTTTTTTTTCTGCTGGCCACTTCGGCTATGGCTCAGCCTTGATAATGATTCTCTTTCAATATTTGGAATTTGATTTGCTTCTTCTTACACTCTCCTTTCTACCGAGACTACCATCTTGCAGCAGGTCTCTTGGAAAATGTCGAAACTCAAAAAAAGCCCTCGTGTCAACTTAGGATAGTCTCAATGCATTGCTCTCTTCAAGTGTATGTGTACCCCGACACCGTGGCGTAACTCTCTTTCCCTGACCCGCACCGACTCCACTATCCCCGCGCCAGCGGAGACGATCTTGTCTTCTTGCCGACCAGACTCCGAGGCATTTTGATTCAATTCCACTTTAGCTATGGAGACAGCTCGGAGTATTTTTTTCCCTCGGGTTGTCTCAACCTCCACTCCATTCTCCCCTCCTCCCTTCCCCCATTCCTCCCAACACTCCCGATTGTACACTATCCCGCCTTGAACCTCATGGCACTCCTCGGTTCGGCCTTCCTAGGCCTGATCACATTACTGGTAGCTTTACTCGCACCTACTGTGATTCACTATTCGAAAATCGGTGGGCCCTTCCTCACGCCCAAGCCGACTGTCCTGGGTGAAGGTCAAGGCCCAATTGTTATTCAAGATACCGTTCACTGCGAGGACGTACACCACTATCGCCCTGCGAACTTGCTATTTACTGCATGCGAAGATGAAATTACAACACGATTTGACTGGTTTCCTGGCCTGGGACATCTCGAGCCCCATGCCGCGGGCCGGGGTTCGATTCATGTTGTGGACCCCAAGGTGAGTTTCTGTCGGTGTCGGAGGATTCTACTATATCGCGCCGAGACCCTTTTTCCCCCCACCTCCCCAACAGAGAGAGTGTGTAGTAACAGAGGATATTACTCAATTAGACTATGAAATCGAATCGCTTGACCTTTGAGAACTTCGAAGGCCAATTCGTCACACATGGCATCGACGTCATCGCGGACCCGAAGAATGCCGGCGCCGTTTATATCTTCGCCGTGAACCATTTGCCCAACCCAGCCTTTGTCCAAGCGAGCGAGAATGAGCGCGAAAGCATCGAGTCAGCCCGTTCTCAAATCGAATTGTTCCACCATGTCCTGCACTCCAAGACCGTGCAGCACGTGCGCTCGATCCGCCACTCGCTCGTCTATACCCCGAATGATATCTCTGCCGTGAGCCCGGAGGAATTCTACGTGACGAACGATCACTACTATCGCGACGGATTGCTCCGTCTTATCGAGGATATCTGGCCCTTCGCCAAGTGGTCTAATATCATTAATGTTCGAATTTCCGACATGAAGGCTAAGGACGCGACGGCCGGGCTGGATGCTTCTGTCGCGCACTCCGGGCTGTGGAACAATAATGGCCTCGGCGCAGGTCGATCCGATGATGAAATTGTTATCTCGAGTGCGGTCGGTGGTGAGCTGTATCTTGGCCAGTTGCATGCGGGTAATCACACTATCTCGATTCACACTACTATCCCCTTCGACACTGTCACCGATAACCCTAGCTACTACTCGGATCCGTATCGCTCCGAGTCCGACGATGCGAGCGGGTTTGTTGTTGCTGGTGTTTCGCAGGGTATTTACCTGGGTCAGACTGGTCATGATATTAACGGTAAAGATCCGTTGCAGGTTTGGTATACTCGCCAGACAAGTGCGGGTACTTGGGAAAACAAGCTACTGTTTGAAGACGATAGTAGCCGGATTCGCACTGCTAGTGCGGCGGTTCTCGTGCCGATTGAACCAAAGGGTGGTAGTGGTCGCAAGCAAGCTTGGTTGTTTGTGACTGGATTTTTGTCGGAGAGTATGGTTGCCGTGCAGGTGGATCTGTAGGGGGGGAAGTGAAGATGAAGCTGAAGATGAAGATGTATAAAGAAGTGTTTGAGTAGTTTCTCTTTATTTTCAGTCCTTGAATTGGATTGAGGCCACAACATGGAAACAAATGAAATGTGAAATTTAGCATGTCCAAAGAATCAATCTTCAACTGTATAACTGTCTCAGTTCTACTCTTTAAGGTATCAAGTCAACCTCGGCATCGGCTCCCAGCCGATTTCTGCCTGAGGAACCCAACACCTCCCCGTCCAACGCGCCATTCAACACGAAACCCTCTCTCCTCCGCATCCTCCCCCCCCGACCCCAAAAAAAGAGATCAATAACAATGACACTCTTAACCCGGGGTCACGCCCCCCTCCGATCCCAACTCCGGTCCCAATCCTACAAACTTTCAGCCCTGCAGCACCCACATCCCTCCGTGTGCTACCTGTCACTCTTTTCCACCTCCGCACACCATGCGGACAGAAAGACCACCACCACCGCCACCACCACTCAAAGCAACACTTCGAGCGGCACAAACACAAACACAAACACAGTCGTCACAACCCCAACACGCACCGAAATAAACGCCCCCCTAAGCACATTCCCCGCCCCAATCGAAACCCCCCCCGCAAAACCCATCCTCATCCTCATCTTCCATCGACAAAATAAAACGGCTCGTCTCCACCGGCCGCGCATATCTAACCTTCTACAAAACGGGCCTGAAAAACGTCTTCCGAAACTATCGCGCTTCAATCCCTCTCCGCAAATCACTCGGTCTGCCAATCTATCTACCCGTCTCTCCTCCTCGAACACACAGCGACGATGCTGCCTCCCTCGGCCGTGGCCAATTCCAACTCGTCCGTCGTTCAGCCCGTGACGTCCGCCGCATGATCCCCTTCACACTGATCCTGATAATCTGCGGCGAATTCACCCCGTTAATCGTCCCTATTTTCGGATCCGCAATTACGCCGGCTACATGTCGTGTCCCGAGCCAGATAACCAAGGAACGGGAAACTGGTAGTAAGAGGAAATATCTCGCACTTACGGCGCACGCCAATGCCCAGGCGGCGCAACAGGTCGGCACCATGCCGGCAACCGTCCAAATCGGCAGTGAGCAGGAAATGGCATTACTGGCGACACGATTTGCGAATGCTGAGTTTGCGCGGGATGCGGATGCGAGTGCCGTTTTGGCTGCTAGTGCTGTTTTTGGAATCGTTAAGAGTCATCAACCCCGGTTTGGGGGTTTGTTGATGGGAGCTGTGTACAGGCCGAGGTTGAGAAAATACCTTCGTTATCTTGAGATTGATGATGGGATGATTCGGGATGGTGGTGGTGTTAGGGGGTTGAGTGTTGAGGAGGTTAGGTTTGCGTTGGAGGAGCGTGGGCTTGGGGATGTGGGTTCTATTTTAAGGAAGGGGAGGAAGGTTGAGGATGTTGAGAGGAAGGCTTTGGAGATGTGGTTGGATGCCAGGAAGGGTTGATTTGCATTTTGGTAATTGATTTTGTATATGGGTTGTAGAATGGTTTGCATAGTATTAGAGAAGATTGTTGGGTGGTATTTGTACGATATTAGACACTTATACATGATATTACTACTCATTTGCCATGTTGACAATGGGAAGTAAGGAAAGAAACTTGAACCTGATCATGTTTGATATAGAAGCCTAAGATAGATCAACTTGAATATGCATCATAACTTGAAACCTTCCTAAGTAATAGTATAAAATGACTAAATGCATTCTGGGGATGGTAAAATATGGGCAGACGAAACAAAAATTACAAGTCATAAAAAAAGAAGTGCATATAAAACTTGAAGAAACCACGCTCTCGAAAACAATTATTTTGCCAATTGATCGCCTGCGATCGGGGGGTATAAGCTTGCATTCTCTCTCAAAAACCCGCACTCGCAGGACGAAAGAAATCCAAAATCCTCCAATATTCGCAATGAAATGATCAAATCAAATAACAAAATCAGAGTATTCAAGTCAGTCTACTCCAGAAAGAAAATCCACGCTAATGTTGCTTGAAATTGGTCGCTTCTTTTTTTTTCTTTTTTTTCTTTTTGGTCGGTGACCTGCCTGCCTTGCCTGTTCGTTAGTTGGCCGTTGTAGTCGCTGGCACCGTCGCCGTAGGACCACCACTACCACCAGTAGTAGTCTGAGCCTGAATGCGATTTTGTTTCGCCCAGCGTAATCCACAACTATTACACAGATCACGATTCCCGCTCGGCCCACGTCGCCATTCAGGCGTATTCTTAGTACTGCACATCGAACAAGCCTTCTCAACTGAAATAGCACTCTGCTTACGCTTGCGCTTCTTCTTCCGACTAACAAGCCGTTGAAGTTCCTCAGCAAGTGTGCGATTCTGCTTCTCCAACTCGCGAAGTTCAATCTGCCAGCTTGAGCCGCGGGTTGGATTGAGTTCTGTGAAGAACGTGGCCGGTGCGTCGGATGGTGATATACTGCGATTACCGGTTGGAAGTCCGTTCAGGCCAATGAAGGACGATAGGTCTGGGATTCGTTGGCCTAGGGCTCCGTATTGGCGGGGTGGGTTGGCGTCTTTGAAGCTTAGTGTGGTTGTTTTTGATGAGCCCGGAACAGTTGCGAGATTTTCGTCTGCGGCTGCTTCGAGGGCTGTTGGGGATGGTGGGAATGCTCGAGCGAATCGGATCTGGATGACTAGGAATGTTGGTCGGACTTTTTGGCTTGAGTCTCCTGAGTAGATTGTTGTGTGTGCGGAGAGTGAGTGGCCCTTCTTATGACGCATTTGGTGTCTGAATGAAGGAGGTTCGAGGTTCTTGTCGCTGTCGTTGTTGTTCTTGTCGTTTTTGTTACCTGTTTCGTTGGCGGCGGCTTCTAATGCGTCTGATATCGCATTCGGCCCGCCTTCTGGTTCCATGAGTTCATGCAGGCCTTTGCCGATGAAATCGTCCGGTGGACGTCCCAATACTGGCTTTGACTTGGTGGTCATGAATAGAATAACGCCAGACAAAGAGACCTTTGCCCAGACGTCATTCTCGGCTAGTGCGGCCGAGGTTCCTAACTGGGCAATCTGGTCAAGCGAGTAGACGGGTCTTGGGCGACCTGTCATAACGAGGTACTTTCTTCCTTGCTGGGGATCGATGTGCCAGGCACCGTGACTTTCGAACCACATGTAGCCTTTATACTTCTGACGAATGCGGTATACGACGCTGACGGGTGCTGGGGTGGTGCTGGCGCGCAAATCACGAATCACAGGCCCAATGTCACTTGGGTGGCAGATGGTTGATAGCGTCTTGCCGACCAATTCGACTGGGTCATATTCGAGGATTTTGCTGCAAGACGGGGAGAGGTATAGGAATTCGCCGTTGAAAGATAACACATGGATCACGTCGTCGCTGTTCTCGACAAGGATTCGATCCAGGTAGTTCCGTGAGACTCCAGACCCAGGAACTCCAGCTGCATTCAGGATGGCAGTAACCTGGTCATGTCCGAACTGGGTGAGAAGATCTGGCCGGAGCCGGTATACATCAGGCGGGGGTACAACGTATTGAGGAAGTTGATCCCGCTGATAGTTGATAGTGTAGTTACCGTCTGAATATGGGGGTCAATAACAAGTTCAACTTGAGATTTGTATCAACCAGGGGAAGCTTACCTGGATTCCTTCTTGTAATGGCGTCTGGCTTCTCAACCAGATCAACCTGGAAGCCAACGTAAAACCGATAATCATCCGAATCCCATCGAATTGGGATCATCGTGATCAGATTCATGAACGGTTGACCACCTTTGCGGTAATTGATAATACTAGCCTGAATCTCTGTACGTTCGTGAATGGTTGACCGTAGACGGTGGACGGTTTGTCCATCAACAAAGGTTCGCTTGGCACCAGCATCGACTTTGCCATCGGGTCCTTGCAAGAATCTACAATTGCGATCCACGATCTCGTCTCTAGAGTAACCAGTGAGTCGCTCAAAGGCGTCAGAGACATAGACAATCGGGTGGTCCTGTCGTGTGATATCACAAAGCACAAAGGCACAGGAGAGATCGACAGCACCAATGTTGATTTTAGGGTTCGGACGCACAGAAACTCGACTCTATTGCGGCGTTAAATTTTCAAATCCCACTTTGCTGCTGCACGATCGAAGTCGAAGATACTTACTAGAACCCCTAGAATGTCGAAGCCGCTGCTCGAATATATGCCGGTATGTTCATTTTTGGCAGCGTCGGGCGTGGAAAGCCCTGGTGATGTATAGCCATCTTGAGGTATGGGACAGGCTTTAGTCTGATATCCTGTGGCCAGCTGGCCATGACCTAATCCTAGGTTGACGACTCACCTTTGATCTGTGTCGGCTGCTTAGGCTGAATCGCCACCGGCTGCGACGCGCGGTGGGGGGCAGGCTGGGCAGGCTGGGCAGGTTGGGAGGGCAGGTTATACTGCGGGTACCGCTGGCGCTCCTGGAGAGGCCGTGGTTGACGCGCTTGAGATGGATCGCTGCCGCGGGAGAAGTCAGAGTCGTCAAAGCTGCCGGTAGAGTTGGTGGCGGCGGCGGTGTTATTATAGAGATCATTGCGAGTAGAAGGCGCAGGCGGCTGTTGCTGCTGCTGCTGCTGCTGCTGAAGGTATTGATTCGATTGTGATACGGATTGGGTAAACGGGGGGTAGGCCTGTTGGTATTGTCGTTGCTGGTCCACCGATGAGGCAAGTCCCATCGTGGTCGCGGGGTAGGTTGTCGGGATGTCGTATGCGAACGCGCCACTCGCGTCGAGGTTCACCGGCATTGAAACGGTGCTAGGGATAGAGTCGTAGGCCAGCATCACGTTGGAGAGACGTCCTTCCAGGTCACCCTGGGAACCATGAGGACGGTTGAAGGCCTGGAGGGGAAGTTCACCGTCCTCTTCTGGCAGCACGGCTCCAAAGGCATAGTTGCCCGGGTTCGGGAAGGCCATGAGGGAGGGGTCTCCGGAGGCGAGAGAGGGGTGTAAGTGTCCTGGCACAATATCTCTCTGGTCCTGAGATTCATCTCGGCCAGTTGAGTAGTCCAGGGAGTAGTTATTCATGGGGTTAGCCATGGCCAAAGGGGACAAGGGTAAACGGCGGCCTCGGCCTGCGTGGGGTCTAGAATGCAGAGCTCGGATAAGTTGTCCCAGAGCCCCGGGAAAGAGGGAACCAACGGGTTGGAATCCAGTAATGTCAGATCAAGACTCCACTCTCAAGAGTCACTTGAAGATAATAAAAAAAAAAGTAGGCGGACGATATGATATATCGGGGGGGTTGTTTGTAGATTTCCCCGAGAGTCAGCGACTTCGTATCTAATGACTTGGGGGTCGCAAAGGAGAAAAGAAGGTGTCAACTTGGATTCTCTCTCCTCTTTTCACAAAAGTACAAACACCAAATGTCATTGTGGACCCACTGGAGGGTCGTCGGCAGCCAATGGATTCGATCAGGGCTCTCTATGGTTGGAGTTGTGCCTCTTTGGAAATGCTCAAGGGATGATGGTTTCTGGTATGCTGTGAACGCCACTGATCTGATCGATCGATCGCGATATCAAATCTGTCAAATGCAAACTATTTCCGTGTCGAGATCAATAAAAGGTGGTTGAAGTCGGGTGGAGGGGTGTTGGGTCAAAAAGACGCAAAGACGGCTGGGGCCCAGTCGATCTATCACAAAATACTCCAAGACATTCGCCAGTGGACGGTACACGACGCATGGACTCCTCACAGCGGGTACTTTGTGTGAATATCACAGGCAGTTGACAGTTCAACCACAGGTGGGGTAAAATGGTACTCGTAAAATGATCGGTAGAATACACCGACCCTCAGTAAGGTGATGGGAGTAAAACACCGCACAAGGGGGACTGGGAGACTGGGATGGCGAAGAACAAGTCTGGGGAAGACCAAGAGTTCAACGATAAGGTTTGGTGCGATCTAAGGAATATAGTTGAAGACTGCTGTAAGGGGGACAGAGACTTTGTCCAGGTTGAAAGAGAGAGGAGAGAGGAGAGAGAAGAAAGAAGAAAGAAAGAAGTCGCGAGGGTGTGATGATGTTCTTATTATTGGGGAACCCCAACTTCTTCTTCTTCCTCTTTGCATCTCCTTCTCCCACCTCACCACCTCTCTTCCTCCCCTGAATTGATCTGATCCCCCTCTTTTTACCTTTGCCTTTGCCTTTGCCTGGTACTTTTGTCCATTACCCCTCTTTCACCCATTGCCTCGTTAATCCTCTACTATACGAAGTACCGCGAAGGTCTCTCCGGTCGAGCTCGAAGGGTGCCGCACATCGGTGGTTGACCACGCGATGGCGGACAAGATCTCAATCACCATCTGCGGCGACGGTGGATGCGGTACGTCCCTTTAGCTCCTGCAACCTTTTTTCAATTGCTGGGAATCTTCAATCGACCTGATTCGGTGCCATTGCAATGGAATATTTCGCGATCGAGATCTGATCAAATCGGGACAGGCAAATCATCCATCACTTTGCGGCTGGTCCGCAGTCAATGGATTCACGAGTATCACCCCCTGACCCTGACCCTGACCCCTGTCTATAACAGAATAAGCTTTGCTAATATGCATAAATGAATAGATATGACCCAACTATCGGTATTTATTTATCCCATCCCATCCCTTCTCCCACACGATCGCAATCGCAACCACAACCACAACAACAAACACAATCGCCAATACCATACTAATGCGCCCAACCTCCAGAGGACTCCTACTCAGTCACCCGAACTGTCGACGGTCTCCCCTACTTCCTCTCCATAACAGACACAGCCGGCCAAGAAGAATACCGCGGACTATGGACCGACTCAACAATGAAATCAGACGCATTCCTGCTCGTCTACGATATTACGAACCCCTCAAGCCTGCAAACACTGGACTACTTCATGGACTTCATCAAGATGGAAGCCGAGCAGCGCGTAGAGGATAATGAGCGTCTGCGAAAAGAATTCGGTCCCAATCCCACCGGTATTCAGATCGGCATGCCTCCCCCGGTAAAAATTGTTGCGGGCAACAAGTGTGATTTGAAGGATGGGCGCGCCGTCACGTCGCGCGATGGGCTGGAATATGCCCGTCAGAATGGTTGTGGGTTTATGGAGACGAGTGCGCGTGAGATGGTCAATATTGAGGAAACGTTTGCTTGTAGGTGTTGTGTCGCAGTCACAGTTGCAGTTGCATCTACAGTCGCATTGCGCATTCGTACCTATTTGCGCTGGTTCAGTAGACTAATCCCGAAAACAGTACTCGTCCGTCGCGTCGTTCAAGCTCGCCGACAACATAATATGCAGGGCGCACCCGTTCGGCCTCCTTCGCGCGCTGGTCAATCCGTCCATACCACGGCCCTTCCACCGATGGGGGCCAATGCCAGCGCCCGTGAAGCTCAATCGCGACGAAGTCGATTCTTCAAATTCCGAGGCTGGAAGACCGCCGAGAAGAAGAAGATGGCCGATGATGGTATAGAGAAAGACGCCAAGCGCGGGGCATCAGTCGATCAAGAAGAGAAAGAGAAAGAGGAGGCCGAGCATCGGGGAAGTTGGGTCCGCCGACTGTGCTGCTTGGGCTGCGGATGCCGGTGGGGATGTGGCTGCTGTTCGGCGTAGCCTCTCTCTCTCTCTCTCTGTGTGTGTGTGTGTGTGTTTGTGTGCCCAAGTCCCTCTTTCTCGCTTCTCTGTCGGTTTTCTTCTGTATTGCCCTGCTTATATACCCCATTGTACATGTTGTATCTGGTATTTAGTTATATATAGTTCTAGTTAGTATATTACCTTGTTAGTGTTAGTGTATTAGTATACGCCAATGGAAGAGGAACAATCGAGATGTCAGATCCAAGCTATCCATGTTCAACTAAGGCTCATGCATGGACGAAACGTGGACAATCGCACTCTTGACCTAACTGGGAAGAATGGCCCGGAATGGTCCTCCGTCGCGATCGCGCCCGAGACCGAGGCGGGCCAATGATTTCAAGCTAGTTTCTTGCGGATGCCAGTACATATTCGTGATCTTGATCATGAATCATGGTTCATAGTAGATGTCAACCATTGAAAACGCAGACAAATGCAATCAGGCACTTTCAACGTCAGACCGTCATAGGGTCAGAGACTGGTCTGGATCTTCAAGAAATCGCCAATCTCCACATTACGGGGTTTGGAGAACTTAGTTACAGAGCTTACATACTTACTCTGTAAGCTCTGTAAGTACATTCTAATCAATTCTTCCCCAAAACAGGGATTGCTCAAAGCGGTATTTCCAGCCCAATACCAAGCAGAGGGCAGAGATTGGCATGAAGTCATTGCGCACTACCAAGTAACTCATACAATGAACTCCTTACTATACTAGTACTAGTACGGGGTACTAGTAACGAGCATATTATTTGATTATTGCAGGTGCCTGGAAAGAACACGAATACGACGACTACTGCGGCTGGGGCTGGGGCTTGGGACTTGTGTTTAGGCTAGGGCTCGACTCTCGTACTCGCATCGCATCTCATCGTATCGAACCGATAAGGAAAACGATGTGCCACGAGCTTGAGCTATAATAAGGCCAAGGGGGGAGGGGGAGGGGGAGAAGGAGGGGCTGATGCTGATTCTGATGCTGATCCTGCTGGCAGTAGGCGGTGCAATTGTGCGCTCCGTATGTACGAGTATACGGAGTAATCAATCATCACTTAGAAAAGGCAAGTGCGGGCTGACTCGTCTTTCTGCTTCTCTTTCTGTTTCCGTTATACCGTTGCGCGATCGAAAGCTTGTCGTGCACCTAGCGCCACAGTCTCAGTTCATCTTGTACAGTAAGTAATACCGAGTAGCCCTGTCAGAGATGGGCTAGATGGCCAGCAACTCGAATATTTAGACCAGCCTCGGCGACAAAAAACAAGAAAATGGTCACGTCATGGACTTGGGGTTGCGCCCGCCTGTGGCCCACCATCTTATTGGAGGGCGGGCGGTGATGAATCACGATGTGTATTGTACGCTGTGTATATTGTGCTGTCGATCGTTTAATACTTCCATGAATATTCTGTAGTAAAAAGTAAAAAGTAGAAGGAAAAAGTAAAAGGGAAGAGTTCTAGTTATGCTGGTCAACTGGATGTGTTCATAAAATGAATCCGGGTGCAATTATCGCGTTGTCGTATCGGCAGAACGTTGCCGGGGCCAGTTTGTACTGGTAGTGCATTCCCGGTTATACGCATTACTTTCCTTATGCACCCCGCCAAGACGTGAAACAGCAGTTCCATCCTCCCCAATTTCAATGGACACTGGATAAATTATTAAATTATTAAATTATCCAAATCATGATGATTCAATAAAGTCATGATCTACTACTAGTACCCTGTTCCTGCACTATTGGAAAGGGGGGGAAACGGGGGCCCAACAGGGTACGGCCGTGAGTAAAAGGAGCAATTGTGTGAATAAGAGTGCCCAGGTGGAAAGGTGAGTGGCCGGAAGTCCAGTCCATTCGGATATACGTCAGACAAAGTCTCCGAGCGCCGAGTGGAAGCTCCGTCCTCCGTGAACTTTGCTCTCTAATGCCGAGTCTTCCAGGCTGATTGATCCCCACCCTCTCGATAGAGTAATCAGAAAGAATAAAATACCGTTACCAACGAAACGCATGAAAAATCAATGCAAAAAAAAAAAAAGAAAAAAAAAAAACCCGGCCCTGTGATCACCAAGCAGGTGGATCCTGCATAGACATGGTCTATGATTTGATCCCTGATCGAGTGCTGTTTCTAACTTGTATGTACGATATGCTCTTAAATCCCTCGAATACAGAGCCCAGCTAAAAAGGGACCCTCCCCCCCCCCCTTCTTCCAATCTTCCCCCCTCCTGGAAAACATGACTAGTATATGACCACCTTGCAACCTTCAAATTCTAAAGCTCGGAAATCCTGAAACTCCCTACCACATCTTTCTTCAAAGTCAATTCCCATCCATCTGATTTGATGGTTACAATACGACATCGTCATTAGATCATCGACTGGTTGACGTCGATCATTTGCTACTGCCCGGATCAGGAAGTATAGCTCGGAAGTCACAAAAGAAAAAAAAAGAAAAAGAAGGACACACAAAATCTTCTTTTACTCCTTTTTGCTTTCTATTCTCGCCGATTCCTTTCCCTATCACCTCAATATACACATACACACATCATGGCAGCTCGCCAATCAACGCCAGACTCGCATTCCGACAACGTGCGCAAACGTGTCTGTAAAGCATGCGATCGTTGTCGTCTGAAGAAATCCAAGGTATGTTCCAAAATGAATAAGGAATATGAATATAGACATGGACATGGTCCAGGTCAGTCGTCACAAAGTAAAGACTGACCAGAAAAAGTGCGATGGATCAAGCCCATGTTCGCGCTGTCGAGCAGATAACGCAGTTTGCGTATTCGGCGAGCGAAAGAAGGCCCACGATAAAGTGTATCCAAAGGGGTAAGCTGCGCCACCTTGATAAAACGTCATTTGTGCGATCTATAAAAAGCTAACCCTCCATTTACCATTTCAGATACGTTGAGATGCTCGAACAACAACAAGCCTGGCTAGTCAACGGCCTCCAAGAACTCTACCGCCGCACTCTCGACGGTGAGGGATGGCCCGGCGATGCCCTCAAGACCGAGCCCAACGGCCACCCGCTTACCCACGACCTGCTTACTCGCCTTGGCGCCCTGGACCACACAAAGGGCGAACATTTCGAAGAAAACCCCGACGCCATGCAGCAAGATCTATGGCGCAACGGGATGCAGCGCCAGGAATCATCCGACGGGTCATCAGAGGCTCATTCGCCCATCGCTCGCTCCCGATACTCATCCGATGCCTTCTCGCAATCCCAACAGACCATGCCCCCAACGCCGCCGGCTTATAGCCCCTCGACCCGTGCGCATGTCAAGCCTGAACCTCTCCCTATCAACGCCCAGCCACAAACACCCGTGCAGGCGCAGAATCAACAATATGCGCTGTCCATGCAGGGTGTTGTGAATCCGCTAGCGTTGCAAGGCCCCCCGCAATGGAACAATAATAGTGGTTTCAATCCCTTTGATGAGATGGATCTCATGAGTACGGCCGATTATTCAAATATGAAGTTCGAAGAGCAGAGCATGCAGTCGCCGATGTTTAATCAAATGCCGATGAACTGCGTTGGTGGGGATTATGATGACTTCAATCAGTTCCTTAATCCCAATCCGACGGAGATTACTTCGATCTGAGCTTGAGCTTGAGCTTGAGCTTGCTCATGCTCATGCTCGTGCTCTTTCTTCCTTTGGAAAATCAACCTTAACGCCGTATGACGTGATGCATGTACACTATACATGTTCCTTTTCTTCTTCTGGTGTGGTGTTTTGTCTTTACGTTTACCCTCTTCTTGTGTCTGTTCAATCTTCTCTTCTCCTCCTTTTTTTTTTTTTGCGATATGGGGCTATTATCCCCAGCCTTTTCTCGGATTCGAGAGCGATTGGAATACCTAATCATCCCTGTACAGTCTTTGGGGGCTTTTTTTCTATTTTTTGGGTGGGGGGGTTTATTTCTGGAGTTTCAAAACGGTTTCGTGTGTGGCGTCCCTTCTTTTCTTCTTTAATTTTCTTCCAATACAACTTTTTTTTCCTTCTGGAATATTGACGATCACTCCTACTACTACCCCTGTTACACCATCTTGATCTCTTGCGCCCGGTTCTGAATTCTGAATCTGCAGGGCTGGCAACGTTGTACTGAACCGGAGTTTGGGTGCCGCTTGGGGGGCTCCACTTTCGAACTGACAAATGCAGCTTCCAGAATGATTCATGTTCTGTCAGCGCGGAGATAGCAATCGTTCAGGCCGGCCGAGCTGCAGTGCATCATATTTTTAATGATTAATGATTAATGATTAAACTTCCAACTCCGATTGATTATACGAACTGATTTTCTTGGGTGGATTTGACTTTTGACTTTTTGACCTTTGACCTTTTTTGGGGATTACATCGTTTACGGTGTATGTATGCATCGGAGCGATAGTCCATCCGCATCAATTATCCCTTTTCTCTCCTCGTACCTAGACCTGTTCCTTCGTGCATGCAATCGAATCCACCTTGAGTCAGCGGAATCTACCAGAGTGGAACCTACAAGCACGAGCTCCACACCTCCTTTTTTTTTCTTGTCTCCGTCCGGGCCTTACAAGACTTACATGAGCGAGTCCGCGGACGCGGACGAAAAAAAACGGAGTCTCGAAAAATCTAAAATTCAATAAGTCGCCGAACAGCCGACATACCGAATCGGGCCCCATGCTCCGCGGAGCAAGTCTTTGATTCGTGAAGTCCGGGATTCGATTTTCCGCAACTGGTTACTTCCACTAACATACGAACACATTATTAGTAGAAGTTTAAGGCTCATGTAGGAGCGGTTATGGTGGTGGTGGTGGTGGTGTAAATTAGAGCTAGAGCTTCTATGGTGAGCATTTCTGAGTCTGACATACAGTATGTACGAGTAAACAAACACGTTTTTCCTTTCCTTTTCCTTTTAAAGTATTTGTTACGTCGTGATACATACGCGTATACGACAGAGCAAAAATACAAACTTGAACGCAAATGTAAACTGTGGTTTCAACCTAAACTTTTAATCTTGATGCCTTCTTCTAGAAGTATTGGCGGAG